GGGCGGGCAAGCGAATTCTTTCCGCCCTTCTTCCTCTTGGCCGTGCGGGCCCGACTGGGAGCTGCTGCCATTTGAGCTCACTGAATACGCGCGGCTCTATAAGCTCCAAGACGAGATGCACGTGGCGGCACAGGTAGAAAACGAAGAACGACAGCAAACACGCCCGCGCCGTTTTAGTTGTTGGACAACGGCCAACGTTAGAGTTGTTTGGTATTGCTAAAAATCTCTCTCTCTCTCCCAACGCTACCCTCCCGCGGTCCTCGCGCCCAGCCCGCGCGCGGAGGCGCCAAAGTTGAAGTGCGCCGACACGTCCCTCCACTCCCGCACCGTCCGCGTTGCGGCGCAGATCCGCCCGTCCAGCCTCTCGACGTCGGGCGGTTGCCCCAGAGCGGTTCCGTGCCAGACGTAGCCGCAGCAAGGGAGCTGCACCACCGCAATGGCCGGGACGGCCGCCCCCCGCTCTCGCTCGTATCCGAAGCGCAGGCAGCCGAGCGCCTCGTCGGGCGTGACGTGCGCGTGCGGAAGCTTCTCATGAGAGGGGGGGGGGGGGGGGCGTCCTGTGGCTGTGCCCCCGAGTACATTTTAACTACGAGGTGGAGAGGCGCCCATTTACTTTCGAGTAGGAAAATGCAGCTCCTTTTCCCGCGTAAGCCGTAAGCCGTAACCAAAGTCTCGAGTCCTCTCTCATGTCTCAATTCACAACTGTGCATACAGCACACACACATCGAGTCTCTATCTTTTCACCGATCTCGGAGATCTTGGAGCACTTGGAGTGCAGTCGGCAACCTCACACCCAGGGCCGGGGAGCACTGGTGGCGTCCGAGTCCCAGCGGGTTTTCACGTAACATGCCCGCAAGGCGCCCGCGTCGGGGGGGCCGACGCGGTACCATTGACTAATCCCGGCCTTCATTTAGTCGCACCACTCAAAGAAAGAAAGAAAACAGACAACCCAAGGGAGGGATGGGAGGACGGCACGCCGCCACCACACAGGGATTTTAAGGAGAGGGGTGTGATGCGCTAGCCGTCGCCCACCCTTGGGCGTCCGCCTCTTCCTATCTCTCTTCGCAGTCTCTCGCAGATTCTCGCTGCGACCTTCATGCCACCTCGCGGTCGCCCCCTTCTCGTCGTTCTTTCCCTTGTCTCTTCTTCTACTGTCGCGTCGCTCTCCTCTGCTTCGTTCTGCGGCGCCGCCGCCTCCTGCCGGTCCCTTGCTCTCGCGGCTTCTTGCGCCTTTCGGCGCAGCTCCGCCCTCCTCGCTGCATATCCTGGCCCCTCGAGTCTATCGCACCACTCTTCTGCGCAATTTTCCTAGAAAAGAATTTCTTTTTCTCGCGATGTCCACCCCGCCGCGCCGCCGCTCGCGCCGCCTCGCCTCCGCCGCCACCCGCGCCCCCTCGCCAGACACGCCGTCGCCCGCCCGCCTCCTCGACCTCCCCACGGCGCTCCTCGAGCACATCCTCTCTCGCTGCGAATGCCCCCTCTACATCGCCCGCGTCGCGGCCGTCTCGCTCCTCTTCCACGCCTCGCTCGCGGCTGATGGCATCCGCTTGTGGGCGCAAGAGCGCGGCTTCGCGCTGCTGGCGCCGCCAGAGGGCGAGAGCTGCGCCGTGAGGTGGCTGTGCTATTCGGCCTTGCTATGCGAGTCCAACCCGCCGGCGAGGGCGGCGGCAGGCTATACGCACAGCGTCTTCATCGACGGCGAGGGGCGGCTCTCGTCGTGCGGCTCTACGCCGTCCTACATGCAAGAGCTACTGGGCCACGGCGAGGGCGTGACGCGGCTCAACACGCCGACCCGCCTCCCGTCTTCTCTCCGTGCCATGAGTGTGTCGGCTGGAGCCGATCACAGCCTCGCCCTCACCGCCGGCGGAGAGGTCTGGAGCTGGGGCAGCGGCAGCTCTGGCCAGCTGGGCCACGGCGATGAGCAGCACCAGTGGCAGCCAAAGAAGATCGAGGCCTTGGCGGGTGGCGTCGTCGCTGTCTCGGCTGGAGGCGACCACAGCCTCGCCGTCACCGCCGACGGCGCTGTGTGGAGCTGGGGCTTTGGAGGCTGGGGCAAGCTGGGCCACGGCGACACGCAGGAGCAGCTGCTGCCCAAGAAGGTCGAGGCCTTGGCTGGCCAGCGCGTCGTCACCGTGTCGGCTGGAGGCGCGCACAGCCTCGCCGTCACCGCCGACGGCGCTGTGTGGAGCTGGGGCTTTGGAGGCTGGGGCAAGCTGGGCCACGGCGACGAGCAGCCACAGCTGCTGCCCAAGAAGGTCGAGGCCTTTGTTGGCCAGCGCGTCGTCACCGTGTCGGCTGGAGGCGCGCACAGCCTCGTCACCGTGTCGGCTGGAGGCGCGCACAGCCTCGCCGTCACCGCCGACGGCGCTGTGTGGAGCTGGGGCTATGGAGGCCACGGCCGGCTGGGCCACGGCGACACGCAGGAGCAGCTGCTGCCGAAGAAGGTCGAGGCCTTTGTCGGCCAGCGCGTCGTCGCTGTGTCGGCTGGACTCATGCATAGCCTCGCCCTCACCGCCGACGGCGCCATCTGGAGCTGGGGCAATGGAATCTACGGCCGGTTGGGCCACGGCGACCTGCAGAACCAGCTGCTGCCCAAGAAGGTCGAGGCCTTTGCTGGCCGGCGCGTCGTTGCCGTGCTGGCGGGAGCCTACTATTGCCTCGCCCTCACCGCCAATGGCGCTGTCTTTGCCTGGGGCCAGGGTGGCACCGGCCAGCTAGGCCACGGTGAGGATTTGTCGGACCAGCTGCTACCAAAGAAGATCGAGGCGCAAGTGGGCGCGGTGACTAAGTGAGAGGTCTCACGCCGCGCCGGATTCCTGGATGCACGCGTGAGACCGCTGCTCGTGTCACGTGCGCGCGGCGCGGTGCCACGTGCATCCAGCGTGGGGGGCGGGAAGATATATTTTGCAACGACGGGTTTGCAGTCCATGTGCGTGGCGGGGTGCATATGGG